TAGAAAGATGTACTGATATACATTTCATTGGGCTATGAAATAAATATTATTGTCATATCTGTATTAAAATTAGGATCATAATTGATATTTCGCATAATTTTTTATCTTCGATTTTGTTATTGCTCAATGTACCTCGAGTAAAGGGAGAGTCTAAAACATCGATATTAACCATCAGTGTTAGTACTTTTTTGATACTCAATGAGACTTAATGGCCGGTATCTGACATACCGTTGCAAATAATATAAATATNATATATATATATACTTAAAAGGAAAATCACCCTTCAAAACATATAATCCGTAACACAAATCAGCAATACGCATTTATTTATTCCGAATTTGAAAACGAAGAAATATTCATAGAAGTGATATAGAAAACGATATAAAACACATTTATCAAAAAAGTGTTTTTCAGCTATTGATAAACATTTATCACATTGATGTAAATTAATTATTAAGCTGTTGCGAAGAATTTGTATCTAAAATTGTAAATGTGCAACATTTTAAAACAATGTTATTTGTAAATAAATACTTGACTCGCACACTGATTAATTGCATCAGATTAAAAATTAACATTGACATAGAATTTGCAATGTTGTATATTGTACAACCAAGAGTTATGTTGGATAAAATTGTTATTAATATCTTTTCTCTTAAGGTTTCCGTTGATTGACTTTTCATTTCAACACAATTAAAACTTATTTTTATAATTCTGTTTAATTCTGTTAATTATACAAATACCTAGCTTAAGCTAATAAATCAAATAAATCTAAATGTAAATCAAATAATGTTTCTGCCGACAGTTTCAAAAATGTATAACTTTAGTAGAAAAAAAACATATTTTTCATACAAAAGTTTACAAAGAAATATATTTTAGCTAACGGAATCTGTAGCTTACACTTTAATTGTGGTTTTCGTTACAATACTGTGGAAGGTTCAAGTTGCAATAGACATACGTGTTAGCTTTTTTTTTCTTTTTTCGAATTATAACATGAATTATTTTAGAGAATGCCATTATCTTAGTTTTGCTTTAAAATGTAAGTACTATAGGGCTTTGTGTTCCAATTAAAGTGATTGAAACAAAATAGGTATAGCTTTAAAATTACTTGAATTCTGGATATTAAAAATTGTATAAAGGTTTGGATTTAAAAAAAATAACTGAAAATTTGAAAAAAAAAAATATTTCAAAATGCATTTTATATTTGATTAATATTAATAAATGTGTTTAAGTATTATTTAGTAATATTGATGTAAATATTTAAAATTATACAAATTAAATTTAGTATTTTACTTTGTAAGGCTAAATCCTCATGTTTTAAAGTTTTAACATATAATTGGTCTCAGACACCTATTGAATATTTTTCTAATACATCTAAATATTGCTCCAAGCAACACATTTTAAATACTAAACTATACCTTTTAAAATTTCAAAACATTATCAACAGTTCCACCTAGGAAGATTTCTCATTTTCTCGTTTTAATTTGCTGCATGGGATTTTATTTTGTTTATTTTGTTGCACAAATTACACTACAAAAGCTGTGACCAGAAGAAATTCTTCATTTTAAAAATTTTTGCTTTTATGGAAAATAGAATAATGCCACATTTTTTCAACAGCTTTCAAAACGCAAACATGATTTGGTCTCTAAACATAATAAGGGCATATTCCGTTGCTTAACGATCCGTAACATCTTTGTCTTAACCGTTAACGGGTGCTTAGTAGACGGGTTGACTGCTCTAATAAGGCACGTGACAAGATTTCCGATCGTCTGCGAGGACAAGATTATGGGTAATCTACTTTACCCTCATGGGATTCTTGATTATGCTGCTGTCATCAGCAAACGAGCCAAATAAATCCAAACTATATTTTCAAAACATACAAATAAGTCCTTCGTATTCCTTCGATAGATTAGTTGAAATGTAATAATTTTCTATAGATATGTAATGAAGAATTTTATTTGCACAAATTATTTTTGAGGTAAACTAAATACTGTAAAATAGTATATGCTATTGATTTATAAAACTTTTTTAAGCATTTTGCAAATTTGTTCAGCAAGTATTAGAGCATTGAATTTTATACGTTTTTATCTCAAAGACGTGAAATGCACTTTATGCTTACAAATGATTTTCTTTGTAGTTACATGATGTCGTCTTCCGAATCCTATGTACATAAAACTATTTCATTAAAAATTTACATACAAATTTATACCAAATATATTGGTGTTCATGTCTTGAATTTGCAAATTTTGGCTTCTGTTTCTGTTTTTTAACACCGGTAATATATTTGCTCAACTTAGGAAAATATCGAAAACGTGCTGTGCTATATATACTAATTATGTGGGTGTTATTGCTAGAATTGTTATTGCTAGAAAAGACCTCCCCATATACTGTGTAATTGAAAAAAATAACGTAATTGCTTCATGATTGGTTCCGTAAAAAGTGGCTTGGCAACTATTCTACTTCTATTGCTAATGCTACGAACACTAAAATCGAATTTCAAAACACTGTTGAAATAAAAAAAAAATTGAAATATTTTTATTTTTATTAATGCGTAGCTTACCATATAAAGATGCCAAATATATAAAAATCTCAATTTAGAAATTATTGTCACTTGCATTGATTTTTCAATTGCGCGGCAGTATAGCCTTAAGATATATGTTTCTCAATTTGATTATTCAAAAATCCCTAAATATAGTCCTTTTTTATAGTCATTTCATTGTGAAATCACGTGATTTTTGTAATAACGCAAACACAAAAATATTTTATTAAATTTGTTTGTCAATTAAGTCTATTCATAGAGATCTCAAACGAAGAAAATATCGTAACAAACGGTTTTTTTCCAATAATGAAGAGAAAACTACCAAAAAGGAATAAGAATATTCAGTTTCTGCAACCGATTTCGTCAAGAAATTCGACTGTACTACTGGTCTAAGATAATTTTGTTAAACTTAATGATCATTTTATTTCACAAAATGGGAGAAATTGACAAATATTGACAATCACACTAATTTTATGTTTATCAAAACGTGTTACCAGTTCAACCGGAGTTTAGGTAAAAATTAACACGAGCATGTTATGTAGGAACCATGATGACTTATGCAAAAATGAAGCAAAAAATTTATTTAGAATCAAATAGTTATCCCAATGCATTTTCATGTGAATTTTAGCAGGCAAGTAAGAGCAAGACATTCATTGATTAATGACATGCAATTATTTTAATATGTAAAAAATATTTATTTATCCAAACTTTTTGAAATTATATTTATTTGCATACAGCATAAATATATATGTATATTTTTTGTAAAATATATCTTAAAAACTTATGTTTAGAACACTTTAATTTGGAAAGAAATGTCGTCTTCAAGTCAATTTGTTTTCCAAAAATAAAAATAACGTCTTCCTTACAAATAAAAAGAAACATAAATTATTTCCACTGACAATTTTAAAAACAGATAATACCTTTAGAAGAAAACGAAGCGAAATTCCTTAAATATTCTAAAACTAATATTAAATTGAATATGCAAAAATCGACAAAATCAAACAAACACTATTTTAAATCTTTCACGCAAACATTCGGAAAAATAATCCGACATTTTGAATGGTAAATGTACTATTTTTCTATTACATTCGTAGATTATTTCTGTTTATTGCATTTTTCTTTCAGTATCATTTCTCTAAAGCAAGTTTCAACTTAAAATTGTACTATTTCTTTTCAAAAAATTTCTCATGTTTTAAAATTTTTCTTTTCTAAAAGCCATTGGTGATATTTTCACCTGCAAATTCCCACCTGGAAATCGATTTCAAAAGGATTGCAACTCTAGAGAAACGGGAAAACATGCTTTTGTCCCTTTTTGCGAATGCATTTGATTTTTAACATTTTAAGCGTATCTTGTGTGTTAAAGATAGAGGAATTTATTTCTTTTGCTACAGAAAACAGTTACGGAAGAATTTATTTTTATTTAATAATCCATCATTTTTGACGGTTTACGTGAAAGGAAATATAATATAGATTCCGAACTTGGAAGAAAACATTTTTGAATTTGTTCCGTCGGAAAAGTCATTTTTCAGCATTTTACAAGTGATTTATTACTCAGAATTTTGACTTTAGTGTAAACTAATTGCTTAACTCGTAATTAATAATAAGAGTTATCTTTTTAAACTGTTACGAAAATAATAAATAATTTTTCAGGTATAATTCAGACTTATTATCTATTTACTGTATAATATATATGATCTAAACATAGCTTTGATCGATTTTGAGAGAACAGTATTTTTCTTCTCTTGATTTTTTATATTTTTTTAACAGTATTTTATTATTTTTATATTTAATGGTTGGGCCTTAGATTAATTTTTAAATAGAATTTTTTCAGCATGTCTTACACGTTTCTGACTTTATTAGAACACCAAAATGCTCGGTAATTTTTACTGAAGTGCTTTTTTAATGATTTTGGTAAAATTAACCATAAAATATAGTGTTATAATATGAATATAATTCGATAAATGATACAATATTTGGTAATCTTAACATAGTTCCATAAAGCATTAAATAAGAAAATTTAATCCATTAAATAAATTTTTTAGTTTTGTGTTTTTTACTAAATGTTCTGAAATAAGAACTATAATTTCAAAAACATGAATTACCGGTAAACTGTTACTATACAAACGGAAAAATTGCCAAACGAATGGTTTATAAATGGTATTTATTTTGTTTTTATTACCAGAATTATTACTAAATTATTGCTACTCCTCGTTTACAAGAAATGTAATTACCATGTAGTACGGTAATTTTGCCAGAATTCTTTTTTCTCGGTGTAGTAATTTAAATTAATGTTTAAACATGCATGCCTATGGCGCACGTTATTATGTGCTTCCTAACCACCAAATATTAATAGTAACCAAAAACGTACGTTGATTCTTACTTATTAGTTCTAAAATATGAATCTTAAAATCTATATTATTGTTAGTTTTGTATTCTAACAATGCAATTTCTTGTTTCTTTTTAGTGCCACCTTTAGAAGTTCAAATTGAAGATAAAAAACGAGCTCTATCAGCACAAAAACCAGTAGAGTTGGTATGTAGGGCAGGTGGTTCACGTCCCCCAGCAAATATCACTTGGACGATAGGACGTCAACCATTAAAAGGAACAAAAGAAAAAATTTCTTCAGAAGGTAATATCACAACAGGACGATTAATATTTATACCAACAATCGAAGACAGAGGAAAAAACATATCCTGCAAAGCCGAAAACATGCTCATACCTGGTAGTGGAATAACAGACGAATGGCAAGTGGATGTCCACTGTAAGTATACGCTAATGATTTTCTTTAAACTTTTCCGACCCGGCCGATACACTGTAAAAAATTTCGGATAAAATTACTGTATAAAGTACTGTCATTCAGGGTGGTTGTACTTTTTACCGTGAAATCTATTTTTACCGGAGGATGTTACGGAATAAAAAATCTGACAAAGTAGGATTTTAGGGTACAACTGTAGTACCAGCCGTCTCCAAAAGGTACTGTGGCAATTTATGATCTTAGTTAAACAACGTATTAAAAAGGCATTTTGGAAACATTTATGTTTTAAGGATTTATTTTTGAATATTCTATTTTCTTATAGTCATATATTTGAAGACACGAAACAGCTTTTAACAAATTTTGTAATAAGTCAATTGCCGAAAAAAGCTGTTTTGTAACAATATATTTATATATATATTTTATTATAAGTCGACGCATAACAGTGATTTTCAAAGCTCTTTCGATAAAGAAATTAAAAAAGGTCGGAATTAAAGTGCCTTATGAGAGACTGATATAATTGTGAACTATATAGACTATCTTATCCAGAGGAATTATCTAAGCTTTGAACTGGATAAAAATACTTATATTTGCTAATACTTATTATTTTTTTCAATGAAAAATTCTCAATTTCTAAACATCTTTATGAACCTAGATAAAACAGCTCTTAAATAAGTTTTTCTTTTTTTTCTTCATAAATCTCTAGGTTTTCTACATATTAGCATTTTGCCCTATTTTTGAAAATAAAATTGATGGGGCTGATAAAAGACAAGCTAAACTTGACATAAGAACTTAACTTGGAGTTAGAGCCATGCTGGTTCAAGAGATAGAGCCATAGCCTCCCAAATGACCTGAACCAGGATCGTATCCCAACGATGCCTGGTCGATTCGTATTCCACACCCGACTCACACAGAACTAACAAAAAATATCCTCAGAGGTAGGCAAATTAAGGGTTAGTATCCACTTGTAGTAGGGATAACCGTTTGGATACCTCTCAATATTGTATGGGTAGTAGGGATAACCGTTTTCGTACTTAATCTCTCCATGTAATGCAAAGGCGGGTTAGTGTCATCAACGTCCTCCACGAAGGCTAGTCTGTCCCATTCCTCTGGGTCGGGTTCAAAATTACAAGGCTACGTAGTTGAACTTTGATAGTCGTAAATTCAGAATTGGGTCGGCTGTTCATTGCCGGTTATTAAATAAAACTCACAGTTATAAAAATATCTTATTTTTCGTTAAAAAAACCTAATTCCATCTTTGTTCGATAAAGCCTCAACATATTATTTTCTAACTGTTTAATGTGTTATTGTTTCATGGATTTGTAGCTCATGTTTTTTAATTTAGATGTGCCTCAATTGACTCTGAAATTGGGCAGCAAACTTCGGCATTCGCACATTCAAGAAGGGAAAGATGTGTATTTGGAATGTGCAATAATCGCCAATCCTTCTGTATCAGAAATCGGATGGAGATTTGAAGATCGCGAGTTGCATACAAATAAATCTGCCGGAATCATCGTCAGTAATCAGTCTCTAGTACTTCAGAGTGTGAAGCGCAGCAATAGAGGGAAATACACTTGTACAGCGGATAATTCTGAAGGGAAAGGAGAAAGTGCTCCTTTATATCTAAAAGTTCAATGTAAGTATGTAATTTACATTAAAAGATGGATATTTAATTTAACATAATCCTTAATTGAATTAAACTACGGGACAAAATTTGTAAAAATTAAACTGACGCTTTTAATTAATATGCAGATTACCTTTTTATTGAACTCGAAATTAGAGCATGGGATATATTAAACTGAGTTTGAATGCATTTATTTTATAAAATAGTTACAAATTTTATAACTTATATTATTAACTTGTTGAACACATTTTGAAAGTAGTCTATTATAATCATTACTTTACGAAATTAATAAAAAATATGAGAGCTGAAATTTCTAAATTCTTATATCAGAAACAAATTGACTAAAGCAGTATTCATGTGCAATGCGCAGAATAAAAGAAAAATGCGAATTACTCTAATTAACTTTTAATAACGAAATTTAAAGTTATAAACTATATTTTAAGTAACAAACTATATTTTAAGTTACAAACTCTATTTTAGGTTACGAAATCAGACACACTAGCAAACTTTCTCTGAATGAAAATAGCTTTTCTTAAAAGGATTTGATATTTTATACCTCAATATTTAGAGGTCAGTCGCAATTTGAGAATTATTGTCCCAATAGTTTGATTAGGACAGTCATCAAAAATTTGGAACCCTTATTGTTAAGTTTACTTTCTGTGTATTTCACCATAATTTTGGAATTTTTTTTAACCGAAACAAAAATTTTCGTACTCTATTATATTATTCATTTATCTAAAAATAATTCCATTCAAAAAAAGTTTAGTTATCATTTTCTATTATTTTATTTAATAATAGCCAAAAAGTCTTTGACATACAAATGTTTACATAATTTTGAAATGAAAGTACTTTTATAGCTCAATGAAATTTCATAACGTTATTAGTTTTATAACGAAATAAATTTTAACGTAATTAATTTTATCGCTTTAAAAATTGTAAATCAAATTCAAAATTTGAACAAAATTGGCTTAAATAGTTAAGAAAATGAAATTTAAAGAATTTATTTTTGTAAAAATTCTATTTCTCAGGGCATATTTTATCAATTTTGTGCACATTTTGTATTTTACTCTGACATAGTACGTGAGAATCTGATGATTAAATCGAAAGCTATTCAGGATTATACGTTTTTTTGTGCCATGTACTTTTTGAATGTCGGATTTACAAAGTCAAAATTTAAATTTCAGCTGTGAAACATTTACAGGTTTTGAAAAACTGTTTGCTTTCTCAATATTTAAAAATATTACGAAACACTGCATTTTTTGCTTTTTCAGTTAAAAATTACGTAATACATCGGATTTATTTGCTTTAAAAGGATGTTTAAAGTATTATAAAAACGGCACACAAATAGATAATTAAAATTTTATATTTTTGAGTAAACATTAAGTAGGAAAAAGAGTTTTGCGACTGTTTGATTTTCATAGTTAAAAGTTTCTAGTGTTTATTTTTTGTTCTTAGGCAACTAGTTTATTATAGTTCGTTATTTCAAATATTCTTAGGCATTTTTTAGATTAGTTTGACTGATAATTAAATTAGTCCAGCAAATGCTGCATTTATTTTAAAAATTTAATGTTCTTGATGGGTTTTACATACATATTACCTATTCTATTTTAATATTAAAAACAGCAAATTTTCTTAAAGTCTTTTCAATTTAGATAACGATGCTTAATTAAAACATATTTGCCCAATATCATATCGATAAAATGTTTTGCAGATATCGCTATTACCTTGATTTTTTTTAATTGCATCAGTTTGAGTGCTATATTTGGTACCCAAACTAAATAAATAGACTTTCATTAATTAGAGCCTATGCTTATCATTTAGATGACTTCCAAATCAAATAACGTACAACCAAATCAACTGATTTCATCATTAAAAAAACGTGTAAACTTTCTGGCACCAATATTCCAAAGTTTGCATTAATTCGGAACATTATTTTTTTCAAAAGGAATTTTCAGAATTTGTTTACATGGAATATATGTCCTAGAAGGAAATGTTTTTGCACTATGTTGCCGTTGTTCATTAAAATTTAGTTTTAAAGTTTCTTTTTGAAAATTTTTAAACTGGTTCTTTTAAAAATTTATTATTGTAAAAAAATATGTGAAAATGGTAATTATTTTTCAACTTTAGAAATATAGTATCTTAAAGTATACTTTGATTAATATGATTTTGAATATACTATGTTTGATAACATAACTTAAAAAAGCTCTTGCTTTGGAAAAATGTTGACATATTTCAATTCCCCCTTGGTTATATAAGGTTAGAAAAATCTTAATTTGATTTCAAATTATCTTTTTTCCAAACTTTTTTTATTACATAAATTTTAACCATGTGAATATATAATCTAGAAAATTTTAACGAGTCATAATCATCTTAAGTCAATTATGCATTATGTTTTTTTGCAAAAATGATTTATTTTTAAGAATAAATTAGAACACAATATTTTATTTCATTTTCGAATTAATTTTGAATAAACGAAATAAATATGTCTACTGAAGTACGTTAGGAATAAAAATATTTACATCTGGATCTGAAGTAATAGCTTAATGTTTCTTAGAGATAAAGTCTAAGTTCAAAGAAAATAACATCGACATGTGTAAAAAATATGCCTAATTTTTATTAAAAAGTATTTCATTTATAGAGCAATTTTTTAGACTGGACAAATTGGTCAAATTAGGAAGAAATATCGAATACTTTTCTGTTGTAATTCTCAAAAAAACATGTAAACATAGAATTTGATTGTAAAAGTTTGTGAATAGCTACGGAATTTTTAAGAATATCAAAAACAATACAGTAATGTTGCGATGGCACAGGAATCAAACTAAATAATAATAATAATAGAAGTGCATTATGAGCAACTCACTTTTGAAAAAAATGCTATTTTCGAAAAAAATCTCCATGTTACATAAAAAAGTAATTAAAAGTAATAAAATTCTTCAGGGCAATTAAAATATAAATAAATATATTTTTGCCAAATAAACTCAATTTTCTTTTAAGAAAATGCGTTTAATTTTACTTAAAGTATAAACAAAAAAGATTTTTTTTTCGATAGTCAATATGTACATTTAAAATGATTTATTCCGTTGATCAGTTTATTTAAATAACCAAAGTTTAACAAGAAACCAGTTTTATGCTTATTGATAAAAAAAAATTTCTTTTTGCAAAAAATCTGGTATAAAGATCAATAAATCGAATGTATCTTAATATTGTTTTGATGATAACAACAATTTGTTAGGAACAAAGATGAAAACGTTCTAAATAATTTAAAATTTCGGGCCCATAATTCAGTGTTCGAACTTCTTAACGCGTCTGCATCTAACAGAATACTGAACTGCACGAAATGTGATCTCATTTCTAAATTTAATTTCGAATCGAGAGTGTTTTCTGTGACATGAATAGCAGTATTACCCAAACGGATTTCGGAGAAAAACATATTTTTCTGAGAATAAAATGCAGCCTTTGAAGTGAAATACTATTTCTTTTCATAAATTCAAAGAGCATAAATGGTCATACAGGAACTGGCATATGAAATGATCGCACACAAAAGAACGATCAGCTATGTTACATAAAAAAAAAATTTCTTCTAGAAAAGGCAAAATAGGGTTCAATATTATTAAAAAAAATCTGTATGAATCTGTACGAAAGCTCAGTTATGAAGCATTTTTTTATCTTTGATGTTTTTCTTTTAATTTAAATGCCTTGTTTCGTAACTTTTGGGTTTGAATATTTTTTATTTATTTGATTAAAATTGAAAACAATCATCAAAATCTTGTAAAGAATAACTACGCAGGATGAAAAAATCTCAGTAACAAGATTAAAAATGATTGTAAAAAATCTATTTTTTAAGCATAGAATTTAAAAGCGTATAATTAAATTATTCATCAGTAATTTCATATTTCTTTGCTTTAAAATTTATTGAAATTAGTATTATATATTGTTTATCGATATATTGTTTTTACTTCAAACCTCTAGTTTAAAATTATTGCATTTTAAAATATTTTAATTTAAAATGTCAAAATTTTAAAAAAAATCTACCAAATATATCTATAGATAATTACATATAATATAAATTACCCTAAAAAAAACTTAAATTTCTTTAAGGGAAGAGGTTAGAAGCATACAATTTAATTATGTCTTTTCTGAAGAAAAAAATTGATTTTCTATTTTAAGTTTAAAAATACTTTACAAACAGAATTCATATAATTGATTCATACCAGAGCATAAAGTTCAAACTGTCAATGGCTAATTAAATTATGTATTTCATTTAAGCAAATATTTACATTTCTCATCGATTATTTTAAGGAAAAAAGTGGGAAAAATTTAGAGATATATTTAAGTATATGTGTGTACTAAAAGCATGAATTCAGCGGTAGTTTAAGTATTCGAATTCAAAATATCTCTTGAAATTAAAATGTAATAGTAAATTCTTCGAATACAAAGAAAATATGACTTACGTAATCATAAGCATTGATAAATTATTAATTTTGAATTTGCATTGGATTTAGATTTATACCTCGCATGAGATGAAGTATAATCTAATTATAAATAACTATTTGATGTACGAATTGATTAATGAAACCGCTGTAAATATTCCATATTGTATTATTATAATTCAATACGTTAAAAATTTACATTTCCCAGCTGAAAAAAATCTGGTAAACCTACCGCATTGAATGGTAACGAAAACTCTGGAAAAAAAAACCTTACTTAATAAATAAACCATTCCTTTGATAATTTTTCCGTTCAAATGGTAGCGGCTTAACATAATTTTTCTAATAAAAATATAACTAGAAATTAAGAAAAAGTTAAAAGACAAATAAAAAAATGAACTTTTTGCAACTCGGAGCTAAAATACTTTTTAAGGCAATTTATAGTACTATTTAATAATACTGTGTTTCATTTTGCTTTTAGACACTCCCGTTTGTAAATCAGACCAGAAGCTATTATATGGTGTTGCCAGGCATGAACCCGTAAAAGTTACTTGTGAAATAGAAGCGGATCCATCAAAAGCTAATTTTACTTGGAAATTTAATAACTCTGTTGAAAGTATGGATATATTGACTTTTATCACGGAAGATAGTGTCAGTATAGCAACATACATACCTAGAACAGAATATGATTATGGCACGCTCTTGTGTTGGGGAAAGAACAGTGTAGGAACGCAAAAAGACCCTTGTGTTTTTACGGTAATACCAGCAGGTGAGTTAAATTTTCTATTACCGTTTTTTTAAATGTACTAAAATATGCATATTTATTCTTATTTTTAATATAAACCATTGTGTAATTGTAATATTTAATTTAATTTTCAATAAATAAGCTTAAATGTATATATAACAAACTTAATAAACTTTAAATGTTAGAACAGTCGAATATTACTCAAATCTGCCTAAATATTAATCCATATCAAAATGCTGTGGGATGACATTTCAACATTAAGAAAAATTAACTGTTAACTGTCAATTCAGATGTTTTAATCTAATTGATTTTAGTGATTATTGGGAAACCTGGTGTGTGTAGAGTTCCTGTATATAATGTAGTTAGAGAATTACGTCATACAGCATTGATTGAGAAACAAACTTGACGGAACAGATACTAAGTTGAAATTTTCTTGCGGAGTTAATACTTTATTGACCAAGTATCTTATTCCAATTAATTTATCTGGCAGATCTCAAAATTATATGCTAATTATTCGCTTTCCTTGTTTGAAAAATGTATCTTTATTCATTTGAGTTATTATTGGCAAACAATTATGTAAAATAAACATATACTTCAGTAACGATCAGCTTTTAAAAACTAAGATAGCTATACTCGTAACTTTTTTCAAGTTGTTTATGTTATTATATGCCAAGAATTTATTTTTTATACAAATTTATTTTTCGTAAAAAATTTTGCTAACAAATTAAAAAATAATTTTTTTATAGTTAAGGAATATTAATTTAAGGTTAATTTGATGCATTATAATCAGAACATAAATAATATTTTAGCTTCTATAAATGTTGGAAAAAAAATGTTTGGCGAAAATAAAAACTTTTAGAGTTTTGAGTTCGATTAATAATCAAAATGGAATGAAGCGTAGCTCAAAACATTGAACTAGATTATATTGCAGTGTTAGAGGGCAAAGTTAGGGAGAAATTTCGCCGAGTGTTAAAAGCAATTGCGCTCTCTTTCTCTATTGCAATCCATATCAGAACATTATTTAAGCTGCTCTCTTAATTTTCCAGCTATGTTAGATATATGGACTTTTATATTAGTTACTCTTGGATTATATAAACTATAGTACAAATTAAACAAATAAAAATGAACTCATTTATAGTCGTTGTAAAATTGTTGGGAGTAGTTTTATTTTCATTAACAGAATGTAACGGCTATTTTCAAAATACCTATTAAAGGAAACCAATCAACTGCTTTAGATCACTTCAAGTACGAGTAAATGTAATATAGTGTTGGACTTCATTTTACACAAATTATAAATAATAATAGTGGTTCTATGCGATTAAGATATATATTATAAAATAAATATTAGTGAGTTAGTGCAATGTAAAAAATCGAAATCAAAATACAATGCAGTCCGCATTTTTTTGCTTCATTTCGTGATATTTCCATAATAATATTAAAACAGGTATTACAAATAATAAAATCACGTGCTTATTAAACCCATGATTTCCTTGCTTAAATTAATTCAATTATAGAAATTTCATACTAATTGCGCACAATTTATTAAAAATAAATATTTAGCTGCATCTAATAGTAAGAATGGTGAACGAGCCTGTCAATAAATAAATTTATTAAATGTACTAAATAAGAAATCTAAATTGTTCATAATTCCAACCTGTTTAAAAATGAAAAAAAAATATTTTATCTTATTACTGTCAAAGAATTTTCTACATTAATTATTTTTAAATGCTTTAAGAAAATACACAATGAAAAAGTTAATGTGATTAGCAATTAAGATTTTTAAATATTTATCATTAAAAATAAATAAGCGAATACACATTAACTTGCAATAAAATTTGTAGGATCATTGTAGTTTTAAGATAGGTTTCTTTTGAATTATAAAAATTATATTTCTCGACGTTCTCAAATACAGTTCTTGCTTTTATCCACAAATGTAAAGTATAATATTACTAGAACAGCTTTCTTAACACTAGTTCTAAATGAATTCGACTTATTGACAACATTTTCCTCAGCAACTGTTTATTTTCAATATTAATACGATAAAAAAAAAACAACTGTGATAGGAGGAGGAGAAAATATTAAGGGGTTCCTTTATCGGAAATATTGCACCATAACATAAATATGCCATTTTATAAGGTTTGGAAAGAGAAAGAATAAAAGCGTTATATGGAGGAGAGATTCTTTTACTCAACTTTTCGCCAAGTTCTTTTCATACGAGATGCTTAGTCAACAAAAACAGATAAAAGGGCGAAATACTGCTTTTTACACATCATGAAGAGAAAGCGTAAAAGAGGACTATGTTCTAAGATACAGCATTTTTTGTACCTTTTTTTTTCTTCCTTTTTCTCGGTTTGTATATCTCAATGCCAAAGAGCACCTAATAAAAAATTAACGGCAAAGAAAAAAAATGTGCCCGGAGTTTTATTTTCGGTTTGGTTGAACAACAAGGTATGGAAAGTTGGAGTAATTCTTCTTTGTATGCTCTGCACAGAAGACGTGTTGGGAAATGGTATTAGGAAGGATTTCTTTGATAAATTATGGTAGTTCTTTCTGTCTTGTTTAGACTAAAATTCTGAAAAGAAAGTGAAAGGATTAATGTATTTGGTGATAGAATACTTTGTGCTGATGGCTTACTTCAGCAGATGAAACTCACACAACATTTTGTCTTGAAAACTAAAACTAAAGTGGGCTGTGAAGCACTTTATTTCTTGGGTAAACAAACTAACATGTTCTCAGTTTGTAAATAAAGTTTACGTAAAGTGAAACAAATGCTGTTTTGGTTTTGCAACTTAAACGAACTCAAAAGAATTTTATATATTTGTTAGCAATGCATATTTTGATTCCAATAATAATAATATAATAATAATAATTAAGTAGTAATATTTCTGAATTGAAATAAATTTGGTTGAAAAAGCAACTGTAAACTTATAATTTTGACTTCAATGGAGAAATTAAAACACATTATCAAAGAATAAAGACAATAGTCTAAAAGTGAAATCCAAATTATGTTAACTTTTATATCATTAATTTGTTTTTAAAATTAAAAACAAAAAAATTAATATTAAAATTTAAAAAAATTAAGAACAGTTCTTATGAAACAAAATTAAAATTCTGCTTTCATTCTTACATTACTCATAATATACTATTTATTACCGAACTTAAAATCAAACAAAGATTGACGAAATTCATTAAAAAAAGTATTTTAGATAAATTTCTAATTTTGATGAAAATAATCTTGTTAACTTGAAAATTAATACTGATATTTTCTCACTTGACTTCAAATATGAAGATCCCTTTAGAACCACAAAAAATCAAGAAAAACAACTTTTTTAACGACGATCAAAAAGGTCTGTTAAAAAAATTCATGTAAGTAAACTTTTCAACAAAAAAATTTTAAATATGCGAATGATTAGATGAGATAATGCAGTCACCTAATCATTTTTCTCAATTTATTATTCATTGAATTGGCTAAAAGTTCTTTTTAATATCTACAAAGGTACTATTAGACTTTCACAAATAACTGAATTGCTTTTTAAAAATAATTAAAACCAAATTGAAGTTTCATGAAAAGCAATCTAAAGTTATTCTGAAACAGATATTAAAACAACACAGATGTGTTCTAATATTTCTTACGTAATATTCACGTCGGTAATATCAATTTTATCGATCATGCAATTCCAGAATTCATGTCATTATAGATTACTCACGATAGCAAGGTTTCAAACTTATCCAACATACTCAAAACAGCGCTGCTACTATATCCCACTGAGAGACTCAGTTGCTTTGACTTAATGAAAGATGGTCCTCTTCCGTTAGCTCATAATTTGACTGTCAAATTCGGATGCATACTGTCATTTCATTAGTCCACTGTGATCCATGCCTTCGGTGATAGTCCGCTTTAATTCTGTTGCTGAATCCCACTGAATCGCTAATAGTTCTGTTCTGGCGTTAATATTTGTTGGTCTGGTCTACAACAGTTGTTTGTTGCATTTCGGTGTTCAATGGAGTTGTAATTAGATCTCTGGAAATGAAGGTGGACATCAAATTTGATTTGTCAAGTTATGATTTCAATTTTGCATCGGTTAGGAGAAAGCTTTAATTGTATCCTGAGTGTCACATTAGAAATTGGTAAATTTCGTGAATTATTTCAGTAATTTTAGTAAATTGTTACTTCACTAATTCATTAAATATAATAAAACATACCAAAGACTTGAGACTTAAAAATTAAAGACATTTGTAAAAAAAATTTGAAAGGTTATTTTTTTTTGTAAAAAAATGTAACCGAATTAGTTGTTTATAATTCACTACTATCAATAGATGACTATTAAATCTTATCAAAATCATAATGTTTATTTGGATATGCTTACAAACTGAACTGGATCCGTAATAGTACTGCGCTGATTTTATAGGTAAGACATAAATAATAATTATACCCCTTTGTAAAAAATCTTAAAAGGAATTTTTAAGAAAAAGTAATGAATAAATTAGATATTTAGTCACTACCATAATTATATATCTATTTAATATGATCAAAAACGTAGTCTTAATTAGGATATGATAAACTGAATGGTATAGTTAATTGTCTTGTGATGGTTTTAATATTTATTATCATGTCAATAAAAGCTATTTGTTGCATTTCGGTGTTTAATGAGGTATAATTAGGTCTTTGGAAATGAATTTTAATACCAAATTTAATTTATGAGAGTATGATTTTGATTTCGCGTTGTTTAAGTGAATTTTTAACTGAAATCTATTTTACCGCAAGAATAGGTATAATTAATGAATTATTTCATTGCTTTTAATATTTAAAAGTTGTCACATTATTAAATACAAATATTTATAATTTTTACAAAACATAACCTGAAATACTTAAAGTTTTTCAAATTAATATAGCAGTGAAGTGAAAAAATATTTCAGAGAGTTTTGAAAGTAATTTTTAATTAAAAAATATAGGGATTCAAAATATTGCAAATCTCTTCTATCAATATGTGCCATACGAAACTAATTAAACGTTTTATTAAGAT